ACACACACACACACACCAGTGCACCTCTGCCTGGACTCCAGTTCTTGTATACAATAAATAAAAAATAAATCTTTTTTTAAAAATTATAAAAATTAGTGAAAACAAAAACCAAAGTAACGATGCAGTGGAGGGAAATAGTAAAACCCTGAAGGTGAACTTTAATAGATTAATAAATCTCTAAAGAAATTAGAGAGGAAAACGCCAAAAAAAGGGGCCCTCCGTAGTGGCGCAGTGGGTTGGAGCACTGCACTGTGAAACTAAACCAAGCCCTGGCTGCTTAAGTGCAAGTTTGATCCCCGCCTGGGAGGCAATCCACATGGGGCAGCAGACCTCTCCTGTCTCCTGCCTGCGGCTGCTTCCCTCTCAGCAGTATACTTTGTCAATCTGCCTGCTCTCTTCTCCACTCTGTGATGAATCCCCTCGCTACTCCTACACCTCTGACCTGTACCCCATTTCTGTATGCGTAGATAAAATATTTTTTAAAGTACAAAAAGGGCACAAATTGACACAATAATATTTTGAAAGAAAAGTATTATAATATGTTAACAGTACACAGTGCATTGCAAGATTTTGGGGCAATGAGTTTGAAAAAAAATAAAGAAAAGCTAACAATTTCATGGAAAAACAGCACTAAAACAAATGCACATTCATAGAGAATTTTAAAAGAATAGATCTACAACTAATAAATAAGTTGTCTCAAGAACAACAAAGCTAACAAAAGGAGAGGAAGATGGGGGAGTGGAGGGAGGGAGCGAGGACAGATCAGACTCGATGTTGTTTTTAAAAAGTTACCAAAGAGGCCCTCCCTGGTGGCGCAGCCGGTTAAAGCACTGCACTGAGAAGCTAAAGCCACTTCCGCATGAGTTCGATTCCCGCCTGCCCTGGAGGTGACCACATGGCATGGCAGACTTTTCCTGACCCGCCTGCTGCTCCCCTCAGCAGTGTACTTCGTGGATCTGCCTGTTCCGCTCCCCACTCTGTCACTGGTAAAGCCTCTCACCCTCCACATCTCTGGCCTGTACCCAAGTTCTGTGTGAAAAAAATAAATCTTTAAAAAAAAAAAAAAAGTTACCAAAGAAGAATAAAACTGGAGGTCAGCCTGCTAATTTTTTGGTTTAGATGTTTTACATTAGGTCGTTATATTAAGATAATATGTGATGTCTTGACTTTGTTGGGTGTATATCACGAATTTATGTGTAGCTTATCACTAGAAAATATATAAATATACAGGAAAAGAAGAAAATGCATGGGAAAAGAAATACCAAATTTCAGGTACTGGTAATGGGGAATTAATTTATGGAGAGCTATCGAAAAAGGGGCTTCAGAAGTTTCTGTTATTTATTTCTTCAATTAATTAAAACGTACATTGGTGTGTACTTATGCTAAGTAGTGGGTACAAGGTATTCTTTATACCTCTGTATATACCTGAAATAATTCATACACACACACACACACACACACACACACAAATATGAGTTAAGATGATTCATCATATTCACAGCTTCAAAGGGAAAAATCATGTGACCACATCAGCAGAGGCAGGAAAAAGTGTTTGATAATATGAAACATTCCACCAATAGTTTAAAACACTCATCAAGCCATAAGTATGAGAACTGAATAGTGGTTAAGAATATTAGCCAAAACCTATACTAAACATTTTCAAGGTGAACTCTTAAAAACAAAGGTAAGAATGTCTTAAAACATTGTACTGGAAATCCTAGCTAGGACAATGAGACAATTTTTTAAAAGCCATGAGGATTTGAAAAGAAGAAAAACATCTGTAACAGACAGTTTGATTGTTTGAAATGAAGAGCCAAAAGTATTTAATGATAGACAGAAACAAAAAGTATTCAGAAATTTACTTGGTACTTGAATCATACAAAAAAAATGCATTGTTTTTCTATAATCAAAAGCCAGCAATTAGAAAATGCAATTTTCAAAAATTATTTTTAGATAGAAACAAAACTTTAGAGTTCTAGGAACAAAATCTAATTAAAAATATGTAAGAGTAGTGATGGTACATGGGTGAATTGGTGGTGGGAAGCCCATGGGGGTTACAACTGAGATGAAAAAAAAATGCACAAAATGAAGAACAATGTAAAAAAAAAGTATAATAGTAATATTTAAGAAACATGTAAGAGGTTTACAGAGAAAATTATAAATCTTTATCAAAAGAAATCAGAAAAACTGTACCATGAATGTATGTATGAATGTTCATGAATGTAATGATTCATTATCACTATTTTGATAAGTCTTACCAAATCAATCTTTCAATCAAATTTATTTTTAGGTAAAACTTGAGGAGGGCCTTTGGTAGAATTTACAAACTGTATTTGAAATCTATATGAAAATGCAAATGGCCAAGATAGCCAGGTCTAGTTTGAAAGGAATAAAATGGAAGGGGCTTATCCTATCTAGATGACAAAATTAAAAAAAAAAAATTGAAACATTGTGATATTGTCATATATAGTCAGATAGACAAATATTTATATCTAATAACCAGAAACAGACATTTATATATGGAAACATCTTATACAACAGAATTATAATAGCAAATCTTGTATAGTTGTTTATATAAAAATTAATAAAATCATATCCATATCTCCTACTTTATACAAAAAGTCAGCCTACATGTGAAAAGTTTTGTAAGAACAGGGAGGGAAGTATTTCAACAGTTTTAGGTAAAATCAATTTTCTTTAAAAAGACATAACAATACAACTCATCACAGAAGAAGTTGATGATTCAATTATATTAAAATTTAGAACTTTCATTTAACAAAAAGACTATTAAAGTGAGAGCATGACATGAGTTGGGAGAAAACATGTGCATTGCATAAAACCAATAAAGTGTTCACATCCAGAATATAAAGCATGTTGTAAATCAATAAGGAAAAGAAAAACAACTTGATTGAAAGATGGGCAAGAATATGAATAAATAATTCGCACAAGGAAATCCAACAGCCAGGATACATGATGAACCTCACTAATCATGGAAATGCAAATTAGTACTAAATGAGATGTGTTTACTCTTACCAGACAGGAAAAGATGAAGTGCCAGTCAGTAATACATAGTGACAAGAAATGTGAGGGAACAGGAACTTACCCACCCAGCTGATGAGAATATGGATTTATAGAACAACTCTGAAGAACAACTTAGCCATATATAATAAAAGGAAATTGCACATACTCTACAACCACAGAATTCTAAGTGTACACCAGAGAGAAAAATCTCACACTTGTGCCCAAAGAGATTTATAATGTTCACAGCAATACTCTTTCTAGTAACAAAAACATAAGTCCTAAATGTCCAATAACAAAATAAGGAAATTGTGACATCTCCTTTTCCAGAGATACTATATAACCATGAAAATTAATGAACGAGAGCCATATGAGGCAATACAAATGATCTCAAAAACATAATGTAAGAGGAAAACAGACAATGCAGTAGGGTAATATTGCCATAAAGTTCAGGGCATGCAAAACGGTACCGTGCATTATTTACCATTCCATCCATACATATGGAGAAGTTGCAAGAAAACATGCAGGGAAATGCGCCCCACTTAATGCAGTATCGTGATCACCTCAGGAAAAGCAGAAGGGGAACAGGAACAAGGAAATCCAGTTACATCACTGATATTTTATTTGCTAAGAATTAATTCTCATCTCGAGCTCTTTTAACAAAACATTAAGCTGGTATAAAGCTGGGTGACAGGAATGCCTTTTATATTACCTCTCTGTTTTTTGATCCTTAAAAGTAGTCCATAACTTTAAAAGATGTATATTTTCTGTCCCCAAGTTCCCCCCAATGAGGCACTGACATTTATTCTCCTGCCTTGCCATTTGTAGATGATTATCCGCCTACAAAAGGAAATCCAGGAACTGAAGGATGAACTGGCCATGGTCACTGGGGAGCTGAGGACAGAGGCGCTCACAGAGGCAGAGCTGCTTCAGTAAGCCTGCAGACTTTTTTCCTTTTTCTTTCACAGGGAAAGTCTGTGTTAACTTCTTTGTTGGCTTTAATGTTATGAATTCACCTCAAAGCACGAAGGTCTCCTGGGACAGTCTGAAAATTGCATTTAGGCGCCAGTTAAGAGTGGCGGCTTTCCATGAAAAGCTGGATAAGGCTGGCAGTGTTTTTGCCGCCTCAGCTTTGAGGAAGTAAAGAACAGAGCATAGAGAGGATGGGAATATCCTTCTCATGCCAGCTGAAGAAAAGGGATTGTATAATAGTCGTGCAATTTTAAAACATATACCCCCAGACACTCTTACTGTGGGTCTCAGATTGAAAAGAATTCAAGAAACATCCTTTGTGTTAAACAGCATCTTGCTGCAAGCACCAATTTATCCCATGCCAAAGTAAGCTCTCCTTTCATAAATAGACGGCCCATATATTATAGTTCAAACACTCGAAATGGGAATGAAAGCAGGTATTCAGGGCTTTTCATGGGCGGCACCCTTCAGAGCCCTTAGATTTGCAGCCATATGGCCTATCAGGGGCACGTCTTGCTCTCATTCCCTCTCTGATCATGAGCCACAGTGTGGGCTTTCTTGTTTCTGTGCTGCTTATGAAGCATAGGTGGGGTGACAATAACAGCCTGGGCTTAGCAGGTAGTGGTATTCCCTATTTCCAAATATGAAACAGAGTTACGTAAGATATTTCTAAAGATGTGTTGCCATTTTAGCTTACCATTGCTCAACAAAGAAAATGGTAAGTAATAGAGATGATAAAAAGTATTTACTTTAAATTATTTTATGGCTGCCTCTAGAGGTAGGTCTAACACTTGCAAAGCCTCCAGCAAGGTTTCTGTTATACTTAAAGTTTCACTCCTCTAGGATGGATTTCCTAATTCCAGAATGCCGTGTTTAGTGATATGATAGGCCTCTGAGGCTTTTCTTAACAAAACTGCTTTGAACCATGTATGCAGTTCAGGTGAAATATATTATCAAATTCACATTTTAAAGAACTTCATGCCATTCCTTGAAATAGCTGGGGATATATTAGCTATTGAGAAACCCAAGTTGAGAATTTATTCATTGTGGTAGTCCTTATCCTTACAGAAAGAGAGAAAGAAAACTGATCATTATCTTTGATCATGTCTCTTCAGAATTTTGCTCTTAGCAGCAAGAGTCTAGCCATGTAAACAAGCCCTTTCTAGGACTCTCAACAAAATGCATTTAATGGAGGAAATTATTATATAGGAGATGGGACTGTGGAAATAATGCCACCTCTCAGAAATCAAGAACAACAGGAACCTTTCGGACTGAGGGGATATTGGTGTAAGGTTGTTAACAAAGTCTCAGCCTAGAACTGAAGAACAAGAGCTCCACCATGATGAGTTCCACCCAATGTAAATTGGGGACACTGAAGAGCTACAGATGCTTTAGAGATTTTGCCCCCATGTGGGATATTGTCTTCTCCTTCACCCCTCCATCCAGTCCTCCAACAGTGCCTTTTATAACTGAACTCACCTAGAACCACTTGATAAAGGAGTCAGAGGATGGAGTGCCCCGTAATGCAGAGCCAGGAAGAGGGAAATGAGGGTTGTATATAAGAGAAAACAGAGAAAGCACCAATTATCAAATAAATACCAATGTTTTCTCTAATCCCATATATCCTTCATATTCTTCAGTTTAAGGGTAAGATTCTGAAGTGGCAGTTTCAAGATATCAGATTGAGTAAATTTATGTTCCACGTGCCCTCCACTGCATCAAATGGGGAAGTATTCAACTGATGTAAAGAAACATGATTCTCTAGTCATATCAGAAAGCAAGAAATACACTTCTCAAGGGATCAGAGACTTCAAGAAATTCCTGAGAGGTTGGGCAAGAGAAAAGGATAAAGCAAGATACAGATGTAGCACATCAAAGCCTCCTATCTAGAAGTGCTGGATCCCTGGAGCAAAGGTTTGGGTAGGAACAGCCAATGAAAATTTGGCAGAGTTGCTATAAGGGGAACAGTTTGCTCTGTACACCCCTGTGCATCCTGTCCTCCCTTCTCCACCAGTGTTTAGTGTGGAGAATTAGGTGCAAGATTTAGGTAGCTGATATGTGGGACAAAGGGGGGCCAGAGACTCTCTGAAGACCAGCAACCTGGTCTGTAGCTCTGCCCCTCCTCTCTGTGTGAAAAGTGGAAGTGGAAACAACCACACCTACTTCAGTACCTCAGCCAATACTGGCTGCCTAAACTGAGATAGCTGAGTCTAAAAAGGGACCAGTCAGGAATAACTTAGAAATATGAGAACTGTCAACATCAAGAAAATGGTAATTAAAAAAAAAAAGAAATGAACACTTACAACTTGGAGGATTTCAGAATTAAACTTTATATATAGGCCCTCCTTGGCGGCGTAGCGGGTTAAAGCACAGCACTAAGAAGCTTAAGCCACTTCCGTGTGAGTTCGATTCCCGCCTGCCCAGTGGAGATCCACATGGCGAGGCAAACCTCTCCTGACCCGCCCGCTGCTCCCCCCAGCAGTGTGCTTCGACGATCTGTCTGTTCTGCTCCCCACTCTGTCTCTGGTGAAGCCTCTCACCCTCCGCATCTCTGGCCTGTACCCCAGCTCTATATGAATAAATAAATAAATCTCTAAAAAACTTTAAATATATATTTTAAGATTTTATTTATTTATGCATACAGAAATGGGGTGCAGACCAGAGGCACAGGAGTGGCGAGAGGATTCACCAGAAACAGAGTGGGAAGAACAGGCAGATCTACTGAAATACACTGCTGAGGGGAGCAGTGGACAAGACAGGAGAGGTCTGCTGAGCCATGTGTGTCACAGGTCGAAGGATCAAATTCACACTTAAGCAACCACAGCTTGGCTTAGCTTTGCAGTGCAGCACTCCAACCTGCTGTGCCACCAGGGAGGGCCCTCAGAACTAAACTTTATAAGAAGAGTGATTAGTAGCTTTAGAGATAAAAGATAGCACGGCAGACACAAAACAACAGCAGGATCTCACTTTTTATAAAGACAGAATTAAGAGATCTTGCAGTGTTCCCAAAGGAGACATAACTTCATCTTATTTTTCTTTCCAAATTGTGTTTATTGAGCTAAAGTAGGTTTACTTCTTTGTATTAGCTCCAGGAATTATAGGTTCAAACCTCCACAAATGTACACTTTCATACCATGCCAACTACCAGAGCCCCAGAAATCTTCCACCATGTTCCATTGGGCCCCTTCCCTCCCCTACCCACCCTACCATCCTTTCTCCTTTGATTGGCTCGCTTTTGAAATCAGGTGTTAGGAGTTGACTATTGGTTTGGTTTTGACTGTCCCTTTTCTATATAGTTCTCAATATTTCATGTATTAATAAATCGTCCTATATATGAGTTTTTCTTTCTGAATTATTTCACTTAGCATTATCTTCTGGCAGGTGCAATGACTGAGTGTGCCTCTTCGATCAATTGGTTCCTCAGTTTCTGAGACATAGGATTGAGAAAATATGAGAGGTATAGGGCAGGAGTGGGAAAATATAGAATATAATATATAGAGAGAAAATGCTATAGAGTATAAGAAACAAATGAGAAATGTTTACCTTATCTGCTTTTTGATACTTTACATATGTTGTATTGTCTACACCACTTTTTTTAAAAATCATTCATCTGTTATTGAGCATTTGGGTTGTTTCCATAGTTTGGCTATTGTAAATAGAGTTGTAATTAACATAAGAGTGCATAAATACCTTCAAATTAGTGTTTTTACACTCTTTGGGTCGATTCCTAGTAATAGAGCTGCTGGATTTTATAGTATATGCATTTTAATATTTTGAGAAGCCTCTATACTTTCCTCGATAGGAGATGGACCAGTATACATTCTACCAACATTATACCAGGGTTCCAATTTCTCCACACTCTAACCAACATCTGTTGTTGCTAATCTTTTCAATACGGGCCATTCTCACAGGTATGAGATGGTATCTCATTGTGGTTTTGAGTTATATTTTCCTGAGGATAAGTGATAATGAGTTTTTCACACTCTTATTGGCCATCTGTATGTCTTCTTTGGAAAAGTAATAATCAATATAATTCACCTCATCAACAAAAGGAGACAAAAAAAAAATCACATGACCATATCAACAGGGAAGAAAAAGTATTTGACAAGTTTGAGCATCTATTTATGTGAAAACCCTTCAAAGTAAGGGTAGAAATAACATATAAATACAATAAAGTCCACATATGATAAAACCATAGTAAACATCATATTCAATGCTGAAAAACTGAAAGCTTTTCCTCTAAGATCAGGTACAAGACAAGGATGTATACTTTCACCACTACTATTCAACATAATAGTGGAAACCCTAGCTAGAGAAGTTGTACAAGTGAAAGATAAGGAAGGAAACCAAATTGGAAAGGAGTAAAATTATCACTATTTGCAGGTTACTTGATAACATGTTAATAAAACCCTAAAGACTCCACTGAAATCTATTAGAAACAATAAATCAATATGGTAAAGTGGCAGTTGCATAGCCAACCTACAAAAATCAAGTGCATTCCCACTTGTAAACAAAGAACTAGACAAGAAAAAATTTTAAAAATAATCCCCTTTATGGGCCCTCCCTGGTGGCGCAGCAGGTTAAAGCACAGCACTGAGAAGCTAAAGCCACTTCCACATGAGTTCGATTCCCGCCTGCCCCGGAGGTGACCACAAGGCGTGGCAGACCTCTCCTGACCCGCCCGCTGCTCCCCTCAGCAGTGTACTTCGTCTATCTGCCTGTGCTGCTCCCCGCTCTGTCTCTGGTGAAGCCTCTCACTGGCCCTGCATCTCTGGCCTGTACCCCAGCTCTGTATGCATAAATAAATAAATTTTTTAAAAAATCCCCTTTATTATTGCATCACAAAGTACTAAATACCTAGGAATAAATTTAGTTTAAGGAGGTAAACACCTTTACAATGAAAACTATAAGACATTGTTAAAAGAAATAGAATAAGACACACAAAAAATGGAAAGATTGC